ATATTTATTAGGACCGATTCAATAGTTATTGGAATCTATTCAGTGTTCTATTAGCTTATTCAAGGCTTCATCATGTTGGTTCATGGATTTATTAACCTAGTTCAAGGCTTTAAAGGGCTGGTTCAATGCTTAATTAACTCGGTTCAAGACTTTAAAGGGCTGATTCACCACTTTACTAACTGGTTCAAGGCTTAATTAGCCTAATTCAGATCTTTAGAGGGTCATTTAGTAGTTTATTAATTGTTTTATTATTTAATTAAACCGATTCTGGACTTTATGAGGCTGATTCAAGACTTTAGCAACTAGTTCATGACTTTATTTAATTGGTTTGGCACTTTAATGATTCTAATATGGGTTTTGGGCACAAAAACTTAAATCTTATACTCAAGTTCTAATTAGGAATTTATATATAGATTTGATCCCTAGATACAGCAAAGTTCTAAATCAAAAATTTTGCTTTTGTGATTTTAAATTTCTCAAAAGTTTCTTGTTAAGCCATGGCACTAAATATGAACTATTTGATTTTTATTGATTTTATGAGTAATAATGTGTATTTATAAGTGTTTTATAATTTTTAATATCTGTTATAAATCTCTAACTTTATATATATATATATATATATTATGCTTTGTACTTAATTTTTGAAAAGTGAACTAAATTATTTGACAAGTACATAACAGGGACATGCATATAATTAAATTGAATTTATTTTCAAAAGCTAACGCACATGTGGTGGGAGTTGTTTAGCTTCAGTAAAAATATCTTAAAATTCCAAGAGTAAATCAGCAATTTGCGCTAGGAGATGAGAATTTTGGTTTATGGAAGAACTTAGATAGCAAGATGGGACCTGCAATGGCTCATTAAGACTGCAAATCTGTAGAAAACACAACCGGCTTCCTTCTTGAACTACCTGATAGAATGATCTACCATTGATAACTCCAGGTCTAGGAAGAGCACTCCTTAGAATAAACCTCTTACTAGATATGGCGATTTTCCATATGCAATTTTTGGGAATCCCAAATTATCGATCCAAGTATTGATAAACATTGAACTCCTAACACGATCTCATCCTATAGGCAAAACCATCATATCCGAAGTAAAGATAGTCTGTTGCAAACTGCCATCGAAAATTTGCACGTATTGATCATTCAATTTGGTACCATCACATATAGCCATTACTAATGGTTTAAAATGTTCCAACTTGCAACCAAGCTTTTTAGCTAATTCCATATCCAAAAAATTATAAGTGCTACCACTGTCACTAGTGATGTGTAACGGTTTTTTTTGTTGTGTCAGTAACTCTCATGGTTTGATAGGTAGAAGCACCCGAAATAGCATTTATAAATACATGAGGATTAGGGTTGGTTATTAAAACCTGACATAAATTCAGAATCAAGGACAAGTTCATGTTGGACATATCCATTTTCAGGGGGAGTGTTATCTAGAGCAAAAACTTTCTCACACTCATTCAACCAATCTTTCACCTACTGCCATTGAATCTGGGGAATTCAATCTTGGATATCCAAGTTGCAAATGAATTTTGTAGTGGTGAGCATACCTACATTTGCTCCTGAATTAGTTGCATTTGGCCATTTACCATTTGCTTACAGCCTTTGATTATAATCAACTCTCCATTTTCCCAGTAGAATGTGTCGACACCAATTGCTTTAGCTCTGAAATCCAATTTGCTACTTCATAAAACCTTGCCTGCATGGTAGCATTTGTCTCGTTGATTTATTGTGTGAGCTCTTTCCACCGCTTGAATAGTAGTTCGACTTTTGATAGCATTTGCCACGAATTCCATAGATCAGAGAACCAAAGCTCTGCCACCAATTGTTACAAGAATTGTAGAAGAAAAGAAAGATTGTTTAGGAACTCCAACGAATACGGGATCCAAGAAGCTAATTATTAGGAAAGTAATGAGAGTAGTAGAAATTCGTTGAGCAAAAGAGGAAGAGAACAGAGACGAGATAAAGTTCTGTACGATTTTCCAATATGCCCTCTGATCTAATCTTCTCCCTATTTATAAAGAAAACAAAAATTACAAGGGAAAGGAAGTAACAAAATGACCAATTTTGTGATGCTGTTAGCTAGCTCACGTGCTTCACCCCTTCTAGCCTAACAAATACTCTGACTTAGCAACTCAACTATTCCGGATCAACTTAGTAGCTTGCACTCTCTGTAGTCTACTCTATACCAAAAGATGCAGCAGGAAAAAACACTGGACAATGAAGAGGAAGTTGGCAAGATGAAGTCTGCAAAGATGATTTATGATGAAAACAGTCAACAGGGAATACAATGCTGGATGAAGAAGAGTGATGGCGACAACAAAGACAAAAATGATTGCTAGCAAACAGAAGGCAATGAAGACCAGGTGAAGACAAGAAAAAGAGAAGACAAATATGAAGACAACAAAGGCCATGATGACTGATGGTAAAGACGAAAATGAGACAATTAAGGATTTGATACTTATGTTGCCATTAGGTCAACAATGGTGAAGGAAGGTGGAAATAAAGGTTGCCAATGGGTTGATGGAGACTGTTGCAATGGCTTGGGTTGGGTTTTCAAAAGAAATAGTAGAGACGATTATCACTACCTCTTAACTATTTCAATATTTAGGATTGACTGCAGATCCAAAGTTTGGAATTACAATTTGTTTCACCCTTAAGCCAATTCCCAAGTTTCTATTCCATTTATGCCATCTTTTCTTATCTCATGGATCAACCTATTTTCACAGTAAATCAAAGCTGTGCTCGACCCAATTAGCAGGAGATTGTTAAAAAGAAGTTTCTAAAACACGGGATGTTTTCTTAAAGAAGAGAAGTTAACGAAAACTTTAAAACTTAGGGATTAAATAAAAAAAAAAAAAAAACCCCAAAACTCAAATTTAGAGTTTCAAAGAAAAAAAAAGGCTTTAATTTCAGATTTTTAAAACCCATAAACCATGGACTTTGAAGAATGCTAAACATTCCTAGAAAGCCAAAGATTAAAAACTTCCTATCAAAATATTCCTAAAATTTCAAAAATTTTAAGCCTAAAATCCAATCTTTTGAGAAACCAAACACCCTCTTATTCACTAGGCCGAAAGAATTTCCACCTAATTAAAAACATCACAATTTGCAAAGCAGAAATACTTCCAAAACCATATAAAAGAGGCCAAAGGCCGCTCAAAACCTCTACTTAACTCAAAAATGGTTGTATTACCCTTAATAAGAAAATACATAACAATGTCCAAGGAATGTAAAACTGCCAAAATCATATCTTTTCTTCATATATTGGACTCAAAACGCCCTAACTTTTTTGAACAAACAAATGTAATTTACAATCTCCCGTTTAATAATACCGAGTGTTGTTTCATTCTCACTGTCTGGTAGCTTTTTCTTACCTTGTGCAATAAAATCTCACTTAGATTTCTATGCAGCTATGCCCAAGTTACTAAGAAGAAGCAGTTCACCAACTTTATTCCGAACCATTGAGAGGCGAAAATTTGCATATTCCAGCTGATTGGAGGCCTCTCAAAAAACAACTCATTAATTTTCTTTTCATCCATTTAAAAGAATGGAGTTGAGTGATCGACTTAAAATATACAGACCGCAAGCTTCACCATACCGCCAATTGAAAGGCAGGGAGAAATCTGCACAGAAGGCTTTCATAGGAGAGCTTGTCTCAAAATCATATGAGCTTACTGGTTCGCCGCCTTGAAGGGCCCCTGGAAATAGCTTCATTATCCAACCCAATACCCTTTCCACCACCTAATCAAATGAAAGTAAGAAATCATGCCCAAAAATCATTTTGCACTAACAAGAATAATAAAATTCAAAACTAAGAATAGTTCAATTCCCTATATCATATTATATAAAATAATTTTCATTTTGAATTATACAAATTCTTGTGCAACAAACTTATCATGCACAATTGATAAAGAACCATGCAAATCCCCATTAAGCCCCCTCATTGCAAGCATTGTAGAGAACAAATCTAATGGCGATATTACCTCAGGATCTACTTAATCTCAGCCTTTGGATTGAATTTTTCAAGCCAATATGTTGTGTGTGGGGCACTATTTCAACTTAACCATTGCACTAGGAAATATTTTAACTCCAATTGCATTAGACAAATTGGTTCAATAATAGATAAAGTGAGATTTTGAAATATTCTACCAACAATAAATCCAGCATTGGTGGTTTTTCTTTTCCTTTTTTCCTATTCAAAACACAAGATTAGATCAATCCCCATGAAGTAGCTATTGAAGGAAAATTCAGTAAATGTCAAGACATATTAAGGAACAATTAGCGAGCAATCCCAATACCCAGGCCCAATCATACAAAGGGTAGAGGGAATCGGTGCCATTGTTAATAATAAATGAAATCAGGATGGACTAAATGGAGAGAAATGCTACTGGTACTGGGATATCAAGTGATTAATGTAAACAAAGGCAGCCTGTGGCTAAGAGAGGGGAGAATCTACAAATATTTGGCAGTCCACACATTTTTAGTAATGGACTTCTCTTCCCACTGACAATACAGCTTCTTCACTTTCTTAAGCAAAATTAGTAAACGAATTTACTTCCTATGTACTCTGTTTGACAACCAAGTCCAGCAGCACAAGATGCACTTAGTCCTATAACTACCTACAGAAACTAACCGGAATGTGACATGCCAAGAACTGTATGCAGAAAATAAAAAAGAAAAAAAAAAAAGGCACACAAGGACCCTGATAAAACAACAGAAAGAACATGTTTAGTAACTCTGAAAACCAAATTAGAATTGATCTGTTATGAATTAGTGCATTATTTGAGTACTTGAGCATGATTAGTAGCAATATATTAAAAAAACAAAAACTTATTTTTTTCTGTAAAAGAAACTAGGCTGAAACCTCCTGATCAAATCAGCACACAAAAACAAAATCCACCATCTTGGTGAAGCCAAGTCATCATATGCAAATACTCACATCTCAATCTAAAAAGAGTCATGACAAGATACAGTCTCAAAACAGGGGGATCAGGGAATAGTTTCTGTTCTAAAAAACTGAAAAACTGATAAACATGCATACCTCATCTCCTTCATCTGCATATGAAGTATTGTCCTGCACACTGCGAAAATCTGGTGGCCTGGATGGATATTTTCATTCGCCATACTTTGAGCAGTTAAAAGCTCTAATCTTTGAGTTTGAACTTCAAGTTTTTGGGATAGCTCCTTGTTCATTTCCTTAATTTATGAAGGAGGATTGTAAAATTTAAAAGTACAAGGCACAAAATAAACCTAAATAATGAACTCTGAGCCAATAACAAAATACATAGAATCGGTATCTATACCTCATGCTCTCAATAAAACAATAATGGTTCCAATAAATTTCAGAATGCATTTCCTATCAGAAGATAGATTTAGAAATAATATGCTTTTAAAAAAGATGAAAATGAAAAACAAAAAAACCAATGCAAATGCTAGTTTCTTTATATCTACTGGTTAATGCCATATAATTTTGATATGCAGCCCGAATTCCCAGGCAACCACTATTAATTACTTAACCATGAAAGCATCATCTCCAACTGTGATATTTACAAGCACATTCTCAGCACATCCATAGACTTATTCATCATGTTTCTATTTCTCTCCTTCAACGTTCTATAACTTATTATCAAAAAGTCTACAACTAACACAATCAATCTTGAATATGCTCAGACATTTATACACCACAGAAATTTTGAACTAGGACAATTGCTTGGTTTTGAAATTCTTTGAATATGGATGTCTGTTCCATCAGTAAAGCAGGGAACTTGTTATATGTGAGAGTATTTTTGGAAGGTGGAATTCTTGAAGGGGGTTCATTTTCATTTTTCATATATTGTCATAGACCAAAAAGGTAATATTGTCTGTAAAAGCCAATGCAATTCTTCAGTTTTGGTATATAGCTATTCCTATGGCAAATTGCTTTAATTCAAAATACACAAGATGATAACACAAGAGGAATTGAGAAAGATTTTTGGTTATCAGAAGCTCATTCCCTTCTTCAACTAAATTCCAAGCATATAGGCCCACATGGAGAGAACCAGAACAAAAGGCAATAAACAATAAACAAAAACAAAAATAAAGTAAGGAAGAAGGTGAAGAAGTAAAAAGAAGACAATTCAATTGACTGGAGGAAGTCAATGGTGTCCACCTGAAAAGAAGACAACTAAGGTTAGATACACCAAATTCCATCAAAACCAATTTACCTTGAGCTTAGAGCTTTCAGATGATTCAGCCAGCAATGCTTGCATGAGCTCTTGTTTCTCCAATGTCAACTGTGAAATGGGGTCCAGAAATGAATCTAAATGTATATTCAACTAAATAATCAACCATTTGAACAATCAAATATAATATACACACATATACAATCCACAATACAAACTTATGTAAAGTAAAAATTAAAATATAAAAATAAATAAAAAGAACATAGTAGTAGAGTAATAAGTTATTTGAAATTCAAACTTTAATCCTACGTGGAATTGATGTTACCTCAGTTATCAATGTGTTAATATTTTGAATGGTTCTGCTTTGATCGGGTGGAATATATGAAGATGAAAGTTCAGAATTGAACAGGCTATTTTCAGGAAACAATAGGGAACTGGAGGCATCACTTCCAAGGATTGTGCAGTAGTATGCATTTCCTGGTTTGAGCTGTCCGTTGCAGCATCCGTATCATCCTCAGCAACTGAAATAAATTATCATTCAAAAAAATGATTAAATTTATAGATGTTAAAGAACTGTGAAAAAGCATAAACCACATACCTTAGTGCATAAACAAAACTTCACATTAGAAGAAAAAAATACACAATTAAATTTTGAACTTGATGTAACATTCTTACACTACATATTTTTAGATGATTCAATTTAACTCATCTCTATCTAAATTTGATGCTGCTACTAATATTATTTACTTAGAAATTGAAATTTAAAAATATGGAAGAATCAAATATAGACTAAACATCAATTACTATGAAAATTCTCAAATGAAATTCTCTGATTTTATTTTTCTAAAAATGATTTTCTACTATTTTAAAAATCTAGAAATAAATAAATATATGACGTCACTTAACACCCATTAGGGGAAAGCTTTCAGAATGAAAAATGAAATTTCATTCTCACTCCTGATGATATCTGATAATCAAGAATGAAAAGGAAGGGTAAAAGAATTCACTGACTTTATTCCTGAATTTTCATTCCTATGCAAGGAATGGATGAGAGGAAGGAACGAAGTTTAGGGAGAAACAAATGGATAATTAAATTTTTATTTAAGAAAGGATGAACAAAAATCTCTTGGCAGCTAGAATGAAAGATAATATTATGCCAACTTCAGATTGTAATGTAAACCTAACAAATTAATAATTTTAGATGCTCCATGCTGACAGCTTTAAAATACACAAGCTGTTTCCAACAGCACAGAAGTTATCTTTTGCTTAATCTCTTCAAAGGCCCATATTGCACCATTGGTCCATTAAAATAAATGGTTCCAAACAGAACAGAGGTCATTTTTAATTCACAAGAATAGGGCTAATGCATATTTACCTAAGATGCATGTGCATATGAATATTACAGCTACTCCCAATGTTCAGGATTTGATACCAAGGCACCTTCACGCTTTGTGATCATATATTTCTCTACAATCAGAGAGACACTTAATCCTCAAGCATTTTAAAACTCAGATAAAGTTTTAACAAAGCAGTGGACAAATACAAAGTATGAGAAGGAAGAATTCGATATAGATCATTTATAAAGTTGTCAGGATGATGTGACTGAATCCCTATCATGCCGGACATTGTATCCATGTCCATACTTTTTACAAGGCCAATATGAAAAGAGACATAAACCAGTCCAACAAATATTAGTCAAATTATGAACGTATCTAAGAGGGCATAGGTTGCTTTTTCTGCATTAAAAGTTGAAGCAAGGGGCAGAACCAGAGCATTTGAGGTGAAACACCCACTTGCTGGAAAACCAGCCATCTATAAAACCATGATATCCTACAGACAGCACCTATGACACCCTGATCCTGATAGAAGTTGAACTAACAAGTGCCACAATTAGTTTGCAGCCAGAAATCATCTCAGTAACTTTCAGCTTATGATCTTCAAAATACTTTGAAGATAAGATTGTCTGAAAGTTGATGTAGCACCCCTAACATTGTCAGACTAAAACCCATAGAGATCACTGGAGCTGCAAGATGTCACCGAAGATATGAGAAGTTGAGAGACCAATTGTTGCTCAAAACTGTAAAGAACTCCACATCATCAGTTGCAAGCTGAAGCATTCATGCCCAAGTCAAGCATTGGAGCAAAGCTTCACATTGTAGAGTTCAAGACCAGAAAATTACGGCTGGGTTACCAGCAAACAACCTTTTCAGCAGCCACAAAGACTGATGCTTGCTATGCCTTTTGCCCTCTCAAAAGGATGAGCTGCTGGATCCTATATCTATGAGAATTGTTGCCAGTTGACATTCCCTTCTCAAACAAGAAGGATTTGCGAGTCATTTGCAATAATAATTGTTTATAGGAGTTCGGCACGCACATTTTCATCGCACAGAGAGTGAGCATTGGACCAAGCGGTAAGGTTGCTCCTTTATAACCAGAAGTTTGATCCATGAAAACAAAGTTTCTGCAAAGCAAGGATAAGGCAATGTAGCCTTAATAATCCTCTCCCCACACCTGCAAAGCAGGAAGCCTTGTGGCCTTGGAACTACCATTTTCTCTTTATGATGAGAGAGTCTCTCATTGTAAAGAACAACTCACTAGGAAAAAGAGCCCAACCTACAAAGAATGACTTCATTGACCTAAAGGACAAACCAGTCTGACTGAACTTGGTGAACAAGTGAAATTTCTGCCTAAAATCAGTCTGCTGAATAAGAGAGAAATTTGGAGCCTCTTAAGCAAACATTGCTTGGTATTGAGTACATCCTATGGAACTGTCAGAGGTAAGAACGAAAGAGTCAATGAAACAAACTTGCTACTGCACGAGTAACTTTCCTAAAGCCTGCAAAAGATGAAGAAGAACAAGCTATTTAAGACGAAGAAATCAATAAGGTGGCCAATGAGATCAAGTTCAAGGATTGTAAGAAGAAAATTGAAGATATTACGAGAGTAAAAGAAGATGATAAAAAATTTTAAGTAAAAATGATTCAGTTTGTCATTCCAGATGAGTTTGTTGCTCCAGAAGAACCTGTTTACTTCTACTTGTACATATAAATCCAACAGTGAAAGCTCTTCATCCCTGAGCATTTTAAAACTCAAGGTGAAGTTTTGACCATATAAAAACAATAGAAAGCAACTTTGATGATTATTCAAAGAAATATTTTATTAAGTTTTCAGTTCATTCTGAATTATCCTTATCTTAACTTTGGAGTTTTTGGCAACCACCCAACTGTTAAAGAGGAATAACCTCTTCTCTCTGTCGACTGGTTCTCATTTTACACAAAGCCAGCGTCTTGATGTCTTCCAAAAATGGGCACCTAGGCAGGGGTAGAGAGATCATTATCTTCATGACAACATTCTCGGCATGAGTTTGTAAAGAATACATGAGATATTTCAGATCCATCCAAAGGTAAATTCTGTAAGTCTTCAATTTTTGTTTATGTGCATTTACAATTTGAATACTTAAATAATTTTGAGTTCATCTCAACTTCTTCTCTGGATTGAGGGCTTTCCTCCTTGATCCTACACAAAAATGATATAGGCAGCCAAAAACAAATTATTCCTATGAACTCTACCCTATCAAATTTCAAATGTACATTGATAACCGCTGTGGTATTCTAGTAAAAAACACTTACAAAGACAAGGAATTCATAATTGCTAAAACAATAAGAACCAAAACAGAGAGTTACCAGCCTGACTTACTTAAATCCTCAGTAGAAGTAGACACATCTTTTCTGTTAGAAGGATTATTCTTAACATCAGTGAACTTTCCATTTCCAGATGTTTTTCGTAGCTTTGTTTGCAATAGTTTCTTCTCTGCACAAAGCAAAAAACTCTGAGAAGTAGGCATAATACAGACATGATGCTTAATGTCTATTTAGCATTGTTTAAAATTAATATACTTGACAATGAACAGCTAAATTTATTTTATGTATTTGTGTGCGTTTGTGTGTGTGTGTCTTACATGTAAAGCAATAATCTCAAGAAAAGAAGAAAAAAATTCTTGGAATTACTTGGATATGCACCAAAAGAAAGTTAAAAAGAAAACGGTACACATTGTTATACACTTAACAATTAATATAATATGTCATTTAGCACAAGAATCCAATTCTTACAACTACTCTATAATCAAGATGGGACTTTAACGAGAACATTTATAAACTGTTTCAGACATTATCTGGTTTGTTTTCCATCTGATGCAATGTTCCTAAAGAGAACTTAATGCAGACATTATCTGATAGGTTTTAGTTTTCTATGTAATGTTCCTAAAGAGAAGATAGAAAAGTAAATGAAAAATTAGATTGCAGGAACAGATTTTTGACAAGAAACAAGGGCTGTCTGCAATAGAAAAAACCGAACAGCCTATGTTCACTTGCTGGCATTACATTATCTTCTTGTAAGAGTAGCAGCAACTATTCCTACCCCTCCTTTCCTTTAGTAGAATCTCAACAAGAAAAATGCAATAAAATTGAGCGTAAACAGCACACTACCTTCTTGTAGAGAATCAATTGTCAATTGCAGATCTTGACGATCTTTCTCAAGGGATGTGATTTTCTTTCTGCAAAATTCCACATGAAAAGCAAATTGTCAAAATATTTAATCGTGCAAAAGACATTGTTCAAGGATACTGCCAAGTCAAAACACCAATATCCCTCCGATAAGGACATTCTAAGCTATGATAAATCATATGAATTGCTAAAAGATGGAATATTGTCTGGAGAAAGAGGGCTGCTGTAGTAGGAGTAAACAATAGTAAAAAGCATAAAGGCAATTTGAGCATTCTAAGTATCAATTAACAGCCTTTCAAATGGATAATAGGGTACCAATATTATATTCAAGGCACTAAGACAAAAAATTTGTGCAAGTCATTAATGACAGACTAGACTTCTATCTGAATTGCCATGAGTTCCTTTCATCTAGAAGTGGAAAATGGACAGGTTTTATTCACGTCACAAGGACTTAAAACCCACCCCAAAGCCCCAAGGAATTAAGAAGGTTTAATTATGTTATGCAGACATGTATGCATACCAAATTCATAGCTCAGTCTAACCCATTCAGTATTCTTGATTCACTATTTTCATTACCCTTTTCGGCCCACCTTCAGACTCAAACCTTCTGTAACCCCCAAGATTTTATCCCATCTTTTTGCCATATTCCTCATCTCTAATTCAGCCAAACCACATTGGGATCCCAGTCTCTACTTTAGCCAAATTTACTTGATCTGAACATAATTTTAGCTATTTGCCACAAGCCACCTACTGTAACGTGCCAGTATTTGTATAAACAATAACATGTTCCACCTTGACTCACTAAATTTTAATTAATTACTTTAAAAATAAGAAATTCTAACAAATAGACTGCAAGATACTATAATCATAACAAAACACACATTTGGAGAGTGTATATTTATACATATATCCTATATATACAATGTGGTTAAAGCAAATTTACGAAAATTAATTCAGGATACAAAACATGAACCGAAATATAAAACCAAGTGGAAGTACTAACTGTATAAGCTCTAAATCCATAGATCAGTACATCAACCATAACTGATTTAAGCACATTAACAAATTAAAATTTTTTATAATTCAATCTGTATGTTTATTAAATCAAAATTACTAAAAATAATCACTGTATATCAAAGATATATGTAGAAAGAGATTACTAAAATACATTTTTGTATCTTCTACGCTATTCAGATTAAGAACTCCATTGAAGATATGAGATTTATTTAGGAAAGGCAAAAAACTACAAAATGAATATAATCAACAAAGCAATACTCAAAAATACACCTGGGAAAAAAAAATGTGTGTAACAACATTTTGTTCTATATGCAAGGGTAGAACATGTAATTCATATGACAAAATGGAAATTAAAAAAAAAAAGAAAAGAAAAAAAGATCAGCTCACATCAGCTTTAAAACCCAATATTGATGCTCAACTCAAGTAACCTACCCAGCTTGGATGCCATGAAGGATGATATTGTCAATTAAATGTAATGCTGATGGATATAAATCAAGTGGAAAATACATATGCATGAGTGGACATTTACACATGGCTGGAGCTCCTGCTTGTTGTCTTTAAGAGGTAGGAAGAGGTTAGGCAACTAAAAGACCATCTATTTAGCTCACGAGAGGTAAATGCTAGTAAAAAAATTAAAATTCTAAAGAAATAAAGTTGTTTTAAAATTTTATTACACTATATAAGTATACAGAAAAAGATCTTTTAAAAATAAGATATACCCACACACACACACACACACGCGGCAACTGGATTCACTGGGCCTACCTAAATGAGTAGATAAATAGGCTGCTATCCAATTTTGGCTAGAGGGTAAGGATAGCAAGTACAAACAGGGCAGCTGTGGGCTGACACTAGTATTTGGCAGCTAAAGGCTCTACTGGCAGCCCTGTTGCATCTCTAATGCATCATAAACACGTTTAAGATCAAGCATAAGAGTTTCACAACAATGAGAACCAAGAAAACCTTTTAATTGATAATGATCTCAAAAGCACATTATACAAACAAGTACCATTCCATCTGATAAAAGAACCACAAAACTCATTAGCTACTAAGTTCCTAGTACAAAAATAATCATTTCAATTAATGATGCAACATATAGCATAGTTGACTAAGCAATATATTCTCTTTCTTCTCTTTCTACTGCTATTCTTAAATAATAATACATGGTTAAAATATCTAAATACTCATTCATAAGTTAAACGCTAAGTTGTATATATGACCATAAACATTATGATAGCAAGATTAATCCTGCATATGACAAAATTGATTTCGCTTCCTTCAATGTTGGTACAGTTAGAAGACAGCCGGTATACATTCAACCAGTCACCCTTTGCAGAATAAGCTCTAGTCTCAATAAAAACTCAAGAACTGCTACCAAACACAGTGATGAGATTCGTTTTATATTATGAGCACATTGTATCACTGAGAAATCATAAAAAAAGTCATATATGATACAGTTGATGGCAATATATTCAAGGCCACAGTTGTCACAAACTGCATTGAATATTAATCAATCACATATACAGATCAAAACAAAACGGAATCTTAAAATTCATCCTTCACTACCAAAAAAGAGACGCCATACTTGTATGAAGTAATTTCTGCTTGCAAGTTCTCCAATTGCCTCTCCAGTTTCAGTTCATTAGACCTTAATCTGAGTGCCTGAAAATAGAATAGATAGCTCATTGCAGAGTTGTGGGACCGAGAAGTAGAGAGAGGAAGACCTACAAAAAATCTTATGAAGATGCAAACATGCAGGAAGAAATATAGAATAAAATATCATAAGAACTAATGGTGAGTTGACTATTTCCCTAAACTAATTGGCAAGGCACAATAAACCAAAAATTTGTATCCACGATTGTGTAAAAGAAAACTAAAAATTTCATAGACTCCTCAGTACTCGTCCATTCAAAGAATTTCTACTAAGCTTTCACTTAATCCCTGCTGCTTTCATCTGATCTTGATTCTGTTGGCTTCTAACACCTGATATGATAATATTGACATTTAACATCAATGCAGTACAAGGAGCTGGCACATACTTTGTGTTCCACCCCAAGGTCAATAAGAGTAAGGAAAAACCAGCTAAGTATATACTTTCATATAAATATAGCAACAGAAGTTGAGCCCAGCTATGTTTTTCTAGTTAATAATGCTTTATCAATATCTGGGCATTAAAAAGGGACTTACCAGAAAAAATAATTAGGGAAACTCAATTGTTGTCATGGTTCAGAAATGTATGTAGAAATGCAGCTTCCTCCTTGTTCAATTCCTACATTACAAACCCTCTCACCCAAAGTTTTTTTTTTTTTTTTTTTTTTTTTTGGGCCAATAACTCGTAATCATGACTATTAAACCATATATATAAAATTTACATTATTGCAAGTCACATAAATCCAATAAAATAGATACACAACAAAAAGAATAATAGGAGAATCACATTAGTACTGTCACGTGTTTTATAACCATTATCATACAATATTTCGCTACAAATCTAAATAAACATCTTTGTTGACAATATCAAAGAACACGCTCAGTAAACAAAAAATAAACAGCTAAAACAACAGCTCTCTCTCACCAACATAGTATCAAGATCACATTGTAGTGTTTACTTAAAAGAATTGATCTAACACAAAAGGAAAAGAAGTGGCACCCTATCTGGAAAGAGATATTAGCAGGCCCAAAAATAAAAATAAAAAAGAAGAAGAAGGAAAAGAAGAAGAAAGCCACCTCTATCATAGAAAAACTACCTTCTCTTCTAAGCCAATAACTTCAGAAGCCAACAACTTAGCACGTTCGTCAGCTGCATTACATTCTAACTGAGCATTTGCATATTCCATTTTTACAGACTCCATTTCAGCCTGAAAGCATTAATGATGATCCCCATCAAAAACCAAGAATGAAAATATAAAAATAAGTAACTTGCGAATGTCTTCTTTATTGTAATTTGTGACTACACCATATAGCATATGCCAAAGTTGTGAGAAGGTTAAGGATCCAGTAGTCCTAGCATATATTCAGCAGGTGCATGTAATTTTCTAGTTATGTAGAAATGATTTTTAAAAAGCTAATAACAGAACAATTTCAAGTTTAAACAACCAAATGCGTGTTTCTAAATTGCATATGATGACATCTCTGTCATTTATGCTTACACAAAAAGAGAGACAGAGACAGTTTAATATGAGGAGAATAGGGCGGGAAGGCACTTCAGAGTTTAGACAAATGGACTAAGGAGCATGGATACGGACAAGGTGTCAACTGGAAACCATAATAAAATAATGAAAGAGAATGCAGTCAAAAGATGTAAATTATTTAATACTAGAACATTCATAAAATAACCAAAAATGACATAACTATCATTTAATCATACTAATTAATTTACCTTAAACACCAGTAAAAAAGAACCAAAGAGGTAAAAAACCACTAAAGATTTAGCTAAAAATTCATTCATTTATTGCCTAAACACATTATGTACATTTTTTACATTTTATATTATTCTTCCAAAAGATTTAACGCCAGGTAAATCTTATTTGATATGGAGACATAAGTCTATATGCCACCACATAGGCATCCTAAATTAAAAAGTAACAGAAAAAAAAAAAACTAGTCATGCCACATGTCAGATATCTGACATGTTATGGCATATCCATGATGTAAAGAGATGGAGACAGATCACACACACGTTACACTGCCCATCCTTGCTTCTAGGCCAATCAAAACTTAAATGGGTATATAAATTTTTTTTTTTTGCATTCAAACAATTGCAACAGTTCAGTAGCCATAGTCTATAAAATTTTTGAAACATAAAATGCTTAACAGACATGTTTACATAATTGCACTATATTCCGAAAAGGTTTCTGAAAGCTACAAGAACCTCCCTGACACTTTCTGCAAAAAATTTCAACAATATTGCTAGTGATAGATATCTCCAAGCATTAATTTTATATTTAATTTATGTAGCTAAAATTGCTGGAATCACAACACAAAAATGCCCCCTTGAAAATAACAAAAAAGTAATAACATCAGTTAAATGCTAATTAATAAATTAGCATTCTTCTCCATCACACAACCCCATCAAGCTTATGCTAATAAGAAAGCAACTTATGTTAATAATAAGTTATTTGTTATTTTGAAAGGGTATTTTTTATGTCTTGAAAAAACAAGGGTTATTTCAATGCTTCCCTTTGCACAAATTAAAAGAAAATTGACACTAGAGAAATTTGTCACAATCAGCATAGCAAAAGGGAGGTCCTCATAATATATTTTAAAACATTAAGGTCCCCACAACCAGCATAGCAGAAGATGCTTGATCCTTACCAGTTGGCCCTTAATTTCCTCCTGTAACTTTTCCATATCAGATTTGAGTTGGTTTACAACACTTCCCTGAGAACATATGACCATCAAGTCAAATAAAAGAGTTCAAGAAAATATAAAACAATTAACACATATAAAATCTAAAGAATGCATATCCCATATAGAGTTGGGCTGAAGGAAAAATACTAGGAGATTATTTATTATTGGTCATAATGGTTTATGCAGTAACTCCTTATCTCAATTCAAGCCTTCCAAAATAGTAGACCAGCTACTTATCAACACTCGCCCAAGTTTAAACAAGCAGGCCGTTTTGGGTTACCCAGCCAATTTTAAATATATTTGAGAAAAAAGCATATAGCATAACTGAGCATATTACAATCAATACAAACTCAATTATCCAGGCAGAACAATACTGCATCCTTAACTCTTTTAGCTAGTTTTGTTTACCATGCTGGACACAAATCTCATGATATATAATTGTAATTGACTCCAGAGACAATGATCAAGAGAAAATAAAATCTCACTTCTTATTCCCCTAAGGAAAAACATATACCTAATTTGTTTTGTTCATTGCCACAAAATAACACGATTAGTCAAGAATTGAGATAATTAGTTAATTTATGGTTGATTAGTTGATAAACATAACATTTTACATCACCAAATATCCATTACTTATATATTGTCAACACAATGTGTATGCAAGTAATTTAATGACAAGCCCTCTCTAAAATTGCCTGCTTCTCATTCCCCTCGTAGAATAGCTGAGGCATGCTTGATGAGACATCACCCTGAAACAAAAATGGTTTAACAATTGCTCACATCATATATATAAGACCAACAATCACCAAAGCATCAAACCTGTTGATTATAACTATCTGTCAGCGATGAATTTTCAGAAGCTAAAGACTCAGCCAAAGCTCTTGAAGCCTCAAGAGCTCGCTGCAACGAGAATTTTTCTTGTGTCAAATCTTCAATATGCTGTCCAAAAAGAGATTAAAAAGCATGATGTGAGAAGATGATGATTGACTAACATGCACAGAAAGTTACATTGTCAAACAGTAGAAAGGATCTAACAATAAAACGACTAAGATAGCATAATCCAGGTACACAAAAATTTAAACAAACTAGGTACATCTGGAGTCATAAAAGTCCTACTAATGCAACAAATAATTTATTCAGAACAACCAACCAACACCTATAAGCATTAGCCAGTCACCTTAAAAAATTGGGATATTTGAGACATCAGTATTAATAAAAAAGGCAGGAAGATGAAAAACAAAATTTAAAGGAAGTCAAGACTGAAAAGGACATTGATGAAAGATAATAAAAGACAAGTACAATTAGGAAATTTTGCATCTATACAAAATTAACCAACCAATTTGACACAAAAATGGCTGATCTGGTCTTATTTTAAATATTGTTAAAAGTGCATTAGCAAACCAAGTAGGATATGGATTGAAACTAGAAAAGATAAAAGTGCTTCGTACTTAATATAGCATGAGGTTGTCCAAAGTGTAGATACTTAATAATATCAATTTCCACAACCAAGCAAACAAATATAGTTAGCTAGACAACCCCATTTGACTCACACACCCTATAAACTTGCCATCTTGTACAAGATCTAAAACCAAACTATAGCCGCAGCATGGAAGACATTTTAAGGTGGCAACAAAATTCATCAAGCCAAATATGTTCCTGCAGTCACTAGTAAAGAAGATGGAAGTATTTAACCCTCCTCCTTTCAATGCTCCACAAGTCCACATCCGCCCAAACTTCCCCCAGCCCCTCATCAATACAAAAGGAAAACAGGATAAAAGAAAAATACAAAACCTAGTCAGGTGAACAATACTTGATGCACAAAACTATTGAAGATTACATCTTTTTGCTGTTTTGAACAGTATTTAGAGACCAAGGTGCCATTGCTCATACCAAACAGCATATATTAATGAACCTTCTCTATTAAGATTTAACAGTAGGAGGCAACTCTTTTTTTTTTTCAATTTAAGAAAGTAAACTCCTAGTAGCACTAATATGAAAATCATTTACTATGGCTTCAGGGAACAGGAGAATATAGTTGAACCTGTTCCAAAGCAGCAAAATCTTCATCCAGTTTTCGTGAGTAAGAGCCAATTTTCATCTCCATGCTGCTTTCATGAACAGTTCTCCTGTCAACATCAGGCCCATTTCCAACAACTGATGAATTCACAGAATGCTCAAATGAACTAGGTATATCTGACAATGTTATCTTTGAGGAAGGTTGTATCCTTTCAGCCTCAAAAGATGACTTATCAGAAGCAGATGATCTTACAAAATCCATGCCATGAACTTTTGAACCAAATAACTCGGGTTGCTCTGGTTCAGAAAATGGAACTCTTTCAACATTAATTGAATCAAGGAAGGATGGACGAGATCTTCTTGGTTTAGTGTCAACCACAGCTGGATCAAAAGGCACACGATTAGATGAATTTTGGGCATCAAAACCAAAAGCAGTGGATTGAGATCCAGATCGCCAAAATGAAGTGCCATCACCACTGGGAGAATGACCCAAGGAATTGCTCAGCTTTCTTTCCCCTACATCAAAAGTTTTAGTTCCATTAGGCTCTAGAACAACATTCAAATTGTTCCCACCTTAGAAATCTGAGTATTCTTAACAGGGGGATGAACAGCATCCACCACGAAAAAGTGAAAGAACAGCATATGTTAGTTAACCTCCCCTCTCTCACCCAAAAATAAATAAATAAATAATTAAAGGGATGAGAAAATTATAACTTAAATTAAAATATCAAACAAAAAAAAAGCAACACCAGTGATAGTACCATTAAAAGTAACACCAATGACAATGCCATTACCTGAATATAAGAAAGACACTCCACTATTTTGCAGGCTGGTATAGCCAAACTTATTTTGCATTTGAGGACTACCAGAATTCTGAGAAGAGAAATTTGCAATATCAGCAGCAGGACTTGTGACAGCAAAATCTTTTGCATGATGACTACTATCTTTTGAACTGGCTTCCTCCAACACATAAGGATTAGGTTGGCCAGAATTGTCATTAATTCCAGACACCATTTGTGGGTGAAAAGCAGTAGCTTGGTCAGTTGCAACTCCATATAAATACCTCCCTAAGGCTCCATTAGAAATGCCAGAGATATAACTCTTGTCTTCTGGCTGGCCGTAACTGACATTTATAGACCCAGCAGAGTGCAAAGTATTGTGCCTATCATGTTCTAGATCCTTTGCAGGTGCCTGTTCTGAGTCTGCAGAAACTGAATTGTAATAATTTGTATTCAAGGATGGATTAGCATGTGTGTTATAAGAACCTTTGTCATTTTCCAGAATAAACTCTGTCACTTGGTCTTCATTATTAATAGTCACTTGTGAGATTTCAAAAGCATCCTCTCTAATACCATTGGATGTAGCAGCTCCATTCAAATCAGTAACTCTAACACGTTGATCATCTAATTGTTGCTTATCATGCTGATCTACATGAGCAGGATGAAGTTGAGTTGTTGATACAGCCTTTTTAGCTCGGTCAGCTGCCTTCTTCTTACGAAACTCTTCCAACTGCAAGATAATGAAATTGGACACTTCTTAAACTGAATACATAATGAACAATCACTAGTTCAAATTTTCCATTATTATATGAAATAACAACCTTTATCAACAATGACCAATCATTAGAGATGCAAAAATAAGAATCGGATACAATATATCAGAATAACAGTATGAATACTTGTTGGAAATACACATTTTTAGAAGACACTAAGAATTACGATACAGATAACCCCAAAAATGGGAAAATTGTTTATTTTTCATGTATTTGCTAATTGAATCTTCTGTTGTGCAATCAACTATAAAAATTATAAAGCATTAAAATGTCAAATAAACCCCATTTGGAATGAAACATCATTAATACATTTTCATTTGGACATCAGTCAGCACAAAGAACACAAGAAACCAGTAAATAAAACTGGAGATGATCTAAGCAATGAGATGCCGAATGAGAAGTAATAAAACTAAATTAAGAAGCAAATCAGATGAAAGGAGCAGAAACAAGAAGCAATAACTTTATTCAATATGCAATCTCACATGTATCTTACTAAAAAAAGCTTAAAATATTTGGGAAGATTACTGGAATAATGAAAGTTGGGAGGATAGAGAGGGGAGAATAAAAATGCAAATCTGACATGGAGTGAAGAAATTGAAGCTGAAGTCGAAGCCAAAAAATCAACTGGTGAGGTCAAAGCAGAAGTCAAAGCCAAAAATAAACTGGTGATATCGAAGCTAAAGTCAACTTTGGCTGCAGAGTCAACTAATGATGTTGAAGATGATTGATGATGGCAAAATTGTTGATTGGAGAAATAGAAGTTGAACTTCAATGAAGAAGTCAAAGTTGAATTTGACTGAAGAAGTCAAAGTCATACTCAATTGAAGATGTTGAAGCCAATGTTGACCAATAATACAGAAGTCAGTTTTGACTAAAGATGTTGTAGCCGAACTCAATTGATGACGTTGAAGTGGATATTTAGACTTACTGCTGTAGTGAACACTTAGGAGTCGAAGCCTTGAAGGAGTTGACACTCAGAAGTCAAAGTCTTGATGAAGTCGACATTCAAACAATGAAGATAACTGGTTGCTGAAGTCCTCAATGAAGCTCTAGGGTTTTGATTCAGACCATTCAAACCTCTCCAATACATTCCATACCATCCTAACCCACTAAATATCCCAAGAAAACTCCATGAATCCATTTTCTTTTATGGAAAAGTCCAAAAAGGCCTCAAGCCATCTTAGCATGCCTTGCAAAAGGCTTGCACCTTGCACTTTTGCTCTCCAGGCACACACCTGAGGAAGGCACTTCGCCTGACCTAGGTCAAGGCCATTTGGGTGCACCTTGATGCACCTTGTGCCTAAATGGCACCTTTTTGCACTTGATGCACCTTGCACACCTGAATGGCACCTTTTTGCACCTTTAACAACCATGGGAACTGATATTTTGAAAAGCTTCATTTCCCTGGAACTTGTTGAATACCATACAATTAAAGACTCAAAAAACACCAAAAGCCAAGTTTAGCCACATTAATTGTCCTCATTTCAAGTTTCAAATTAGACTATATATCCACTTTATGAGATATAAATTCTACACAACATCAAATTTGGGGGTCCAATCTTGATGTGGTTTACAAGCAAGTCTGAATTTAGCATTTTAGCGAGGGAAACACCTACTGACCAACTTAATTTTCTTTTCTATTTGATTTCGTCCCTACAAAGAGCCAATTCTAAGTCAACCATATTGAAGCTTAATCAGACACCAGAACTGCTTGCCCCTGCAACCCCAGAATATATAATATATATTTAGTTTCATATTAGCCCTTCAGTATATTTTAACACCACAATCCTTCCCCACCACACCCCCCCCCCCCCCAAAAAAAAAAAAAGAATTAAAAAGAAAACAAAAAAGCACCAAGTTTGGCATTTCCATTTTTAAGATTTGTAGTCTACATTTTATAGACCAGATTAACTCATACGTCATTTCAACCCCAAACTTAATCATTAAGATGATCATTTGCCGCTTAATAAAGGACTATTAGTGCAAATCTGGTAAAGGATAGGATCATAGGATTATTAATATGAGATATGAGATATAAGAAGATTGAAGATAGTGGGATTAAAATGTGGACCCTGTAGGATGAGAAAAAGTGGGATTGGATAGGATGGCATTATAGAGTTGGAGAATGTATATTGTAACATTTTTTTTGGAAAAAAAAATAGGGTCCAGTGCTGCAGGAACGCAATCTTCGGAAAATCACCCTTCTGCCCATAACCAAAGACTACCTAAGGTCATTATCTTAGATCTAAAAACTGCCAATGCAATCTTTCAGCCTCTGGTTAACAGAACCTCAAACTGCTATATTCAAAATATACACCTAACTCAGCACATTCAGAATGAAGACTCTCCCACTAGAGTGAAGTCAGTAATGGAGAATTTACTATAGAGTTTGCCTATGATTATAAAAGGGAATAAGATGAAAGGCAACAGTTGCAACAGGCTGGAAGTAAAAGTCTCTGATACATAATGAAGGAAGGCAATAAATGTTGAGATCATCCCACCAATATTGAAGCAAGTCAAGATCAGCTAGTTGTTGGGAAGAGCACCCTAACTCAAATTAGAAACAGGCTTGTAAAGGATATTTGCACAACAGTCACTGTGAAAACTATAGCTACAACAGGGAAGATCATTGGACTGAGAGTCAACATAACAAATGAACCAAGACAACAAGTATCTAAAGTCCAACTTGATTATGGAATCTTTAGCTACATAACCAAGCTAAAGTCTCAATTTTAAGCTTGTGATATACAAGGAAAATACAGGCATCACCAAATAAACTCATTATCACATAGGCTAATTGGCTAAAATGCTACAGCTCCTTATGGAGATGCTCAGAAATTGCTTTTCTTGCTTACAGGCTTGTTGGAGGAAATTAAATCAAACATGATAATAATTATGAATTGTCCTTTTGATCCATTTGCTGAAAAAAAACAAAAAAGTCACTTATAAGCCACTATCAAATGGAGCCCAAATCTTTATTCTATCTAACGTTGTAGTTTTGTTCATATTTTTTTTTCATGTTTTTTTAAACCTTCCCCTCTATAGTGATGTCATTTGTTCGACAATAAGCTCTAGCTTTCAAGTGTGCTAGAAGATTCAACAAGTCCAACCCAAATGCTCAAAACCTCATTTGATTAAATCCAAATTCTGCAATTCGATTGGGAACATTCCAGTTGCCAGCAGGACAGACAAAAGCAGCCTAATGCCTTACGCAAATAGACTCAGTTGCAGTCATATAACATATAAAACTACTCTTAAATGTCCGTACAACAATACAACTTGTGCTTGGATCTAGGTGTCCATCAAACAAGGATCATACATAAATTCCAAGATTTTGCAGGAGATCTTCCGAGTGATGTTAGGACCCCTTTTTTGGCTCAGTATTACAAACTTTATGATGACAGCATCATGCTTATTTGATTTTTCAATTATTTAAAAATACAAAAGAATAAAAAAACATAAAATAAGCAATTCATTCTCTCAAAAGCTGTAGCTGTTAGGAAATGAGGCCAGCATATGAAGGCACCAAAAATGCCAAAACCTGCTTTCAGCCCCATCTCCTATTTGGAAGAACAAACAATTACAGTGTAAGAACAAAAACAACATAGAGTTCACAGTCACAAACATAAACAGGTGAGAAAACATAGGGTATGTGATGCCACCTTCAAGGTCAGAAAAATAATACCAAAAACTAATTATTTTAAAGCTTAAGGTCGAAGACTGAGACAATAGGAGCATATCGAGCATGACCTTTTATTCCCATATTGTCAACAGCATTCTATTTACAATGCATGCATATATCTTCGCCAAGTGTAAATTAACTAGGCGGAGCATATCGAGCATGACCTTTTATTCCCATATTGTCAACAGCATTCTATTTACAATGCATGCATATATCTTTGCCAAGTGTAAATTAACTAGGCGGATCAAGTGACATTTTCCGAATTAGTTGACCCTGGTCAAATTGTTGATCATTTATCATATTAACCCTCAACTTGTATAGGGATGAGTAACCGAATTGCTATTTCATAACATACCCGCTCACATGCAGGTAAACTTTAAATTAGTACACAAGCAGATATGAGAGATAACATTATCCTGTAATTTTTTTATAAACTTCTTATATAAAACTCAAGCTTCCCGATATGGGAATTCAATTATTTATTCCTCAGCAAGATGTTTTGTTATTTATCAAAAACTACATTTACCGCGTACACCGCCCCAATTAACCAATTTCGTCAGAAAAGTGTTCAAGAGATTAAGAAATTCCAATTATTCAAACAAAGATCTTCCACACTAACATTACGAACACGGACATTGTAAACATTTCTAGCGTATACGCATGAATTAACAAAATTTCAAAACAAACCATACCTTTCGCTTTCCAGCTTCTAAATGCTCTTGCTTCTTTACCGACGCCATCGTAACTGCTGGAAAATCGCAACCTCGAATGTCCTCAGGCTAATAATGCGCATAAACTCTACAAAATGATCCTAAACATCCACCAATCTCCATTAAAATACCGGAAACAGGCCCACAGTAATCACAAATCGACTCAGACAAACACCACAGCACCGAGGGGAATGGAAAACTACGCGCAGCAGTACGAGCATTGATCAATGGATAGTTGCTTTCAACTGCTGAAAAGATTCGAAATTTTGAAAATTAGGAGATGGATTGGAGCATACAAAACCCTAATTTGCAGACAGAAGCTCCGATCTGATCGGCGAAGGAGGAGAGAGCGGTGGATGGATTTGTTCGAACAGATCTCTCCGGCCTGGGTTCTCTCTCTTCCCTCCCGTAATTTTCGTGAAAATTGCGTCTTGTTATTTATTTAACTGGATGCTAAAGTAACTGACTGTTCCAAAATGACGATGTAAACTAGCTCCTTAAAAAAAAACACGTGTCTACAGCAGTGCTGGTGTCCAATTTGGAACCTGCCAGCCCCTGGTCAGCTCCTGTTCGAAACACGGCTACAATTATATCATTTTGTTAATATTTTTAATTAATTAAAAATTGAATGAGAAAAAAATTTAGGTAAAAAAAAGATTTAAGAGATATTGAGAGCTTCACATTTCGTATATCAATAAAATTACGATGTAAAAATATTTTCTGAATACTAAAATACTTATTTATTTAATGAACTGAGTTTGATTTTATAAAAATATAATTTTGGAGAGAAATAGTCACACATCCAAAAAAATGAAAATATATGTAATAAAAACACAAAAATATAATATCTACCAATTATAAAAAAACATAAATTTTTAACAGAAAATAAATTTAAAAAGGGAAAGGAAAATTCATAAGATTGATACTGAAAGAAAACAATTCTGGATGAATTTTTTTTTTCCAATATATATCGATAGACACAAATTTAGTAAGTTTTTTTTTTACCTTGTCAGACATAGTGTTTCAAAATCTTAATAACACTAACCTCCACAAAATAATTATTTATTCATCTTATTATCTATTCACTTTTTTTTTTTTGGTGGTTTACTTCTTTATCTCGGTATTTATTTTTTTTTCTTTGCTGTATAGTTAGAAACTTAAAAAAGAAAAGAAAATAATAAAAATAATTTCTTTAGATGAATGGAAAAGAACGAAAAAGAAAATATTATAAATTCATTGAATTCTGTTCTAGTTCGGATAACGAAAGAAAAATTAAAAAATATTATAACACTATTATTATTTAATTTTTACTTTATAATTATATTTTTCTCTCCAAATCTCTTTAATTTTGGAGAGATTAAAATAGCTTAGAAAATAAATTTGAAACTCTTTAATTTTCTCATTTCTCTTCAATTTTTTCTATAAAATCTGAGAAATGAAAATAAAAAATTTCATTCCCTTATTTCTCCCCAAGTCAGCCAATCTATCTAAATAAGTTGTGGTCGTACTTCTCAAACTTAAAAGGAGAATTCTATGGCACCCGGGCATTTCTTAGGTTTCAAAATTCTTTCTTATGTGGATCAATAAAGTTATTCCTTGTGAACAATGTAAAAACGTATCATCAAGGATTCAATTACAAATCAAATTATTTAAGGAGTTTAAGTGTAAAATGTAGCAATAATTCAAATGATGAAGTGTTTACATAAAAGAAGACATCCCAACAAATGACTGATTTAGATGAAATATTATCTTAAATTTAAATCTTAAATTTGCAACTTGAAGACAAAAACAAAGGGTTTATTCTAAATTTTCAATATATTAAGGGGTAATCTGTATATTTTTTCTTTAAAAAAATATTATTTTATAAATTTTTATTTTTCTCGTAAACAAATTTTATTTGCCTAAGTATCCACTAAATTTTATTTGCCTAAGTATCATGTACTTTATATTTTATTTTTGTATAAGCATTGATTAATGGATAATGAGTAGTTCAAGTTTAGTTTTAAAA